GAGTTGTTGGACTCGTTTTTTGAGGCGGAGGTGGAAATGGAGAGGAAGATTTGTAGAGATGTTGTCTGCATGTCACGCAAGGATGAAGAAGGTAAGACAAACACGGAGGATTTGTGTCTATAGACGGTTCAGAGACTCCAGCCCAGTGATTCAAGGCGTGGTTTTGCTTTATGTCAACAATAGTAATAATTATCTAGGGCAGATCTTAAAAGCCAGATCAGCTGAAAGACTTGATTAGCAAAAAATACAAACACACACCCAGTTATTAATGCTTTGAGCTCTGTCTGGTAATAGAAGAAAACAATAAAATCATTTTTGGGTGGAGGTGTGTGTATAAATGTGCCCTGTGAATATAAAAGATGTCGTTATCACCACTGCATTCCATCATCATTATCAGATGAATGATCACAAATCATTTACTCACCCTCATATCTTTCTAAAACCAACTTTCTTCTTTCCGTGGAGCACAAAAGGAGATGTTTTGATGAATGTTTACGCTGCTGTTTTCCATACACTGAAAGTGAATGGGAAAAGTAGCTGCTTAGTGTAAAAAATAGACAAAAAACACCATAAAAGAAGTTTGTACAACTTGTGCGCTTCATTCAAAGACATCTGAAATCATACAATACAGGGTTTCTGCAGATCCTTAAAAAAAGTATTTCCAACCTTAATTGTTTTTTTTTTGTTTAATTTTTTTTTTTTTTTTTTTTTTTGGTATCGTTCAGGACGGTGCAGTGTAGACAGGAAAGTGGAGGGAGAAAGTGGGCGAGTGGGACCAAGACAGGTTTAAACACTAGGAGGTGTATAAAGGTTCAAATTGCTGATTGTTTGGTTTGCATAGTTATACTCTGTACATTGTTGTTTAGGATGCAAGATTAGATCATTTTGAGGCTGATTCAGAGTAGGCCTGATTATTAATGTTTATTATTCAAAGTTTCCTTTTAAATTTTTTTTTTTTTTGGTGACACTTTAGTATAGGGACCAGTTCTCACTATTAACTAGTTGCCTATTAGCATGGCTATTATTAACATATTGGCTGTTTATTAGTACTTATAAAGCACATATTCTGCATGACCATATTCTACATCCCTAATCCTACCCAATACCTAAACTTAACAACTACCTTACTAACTATTAAAAAAACAGAAAATTAGGAGTTTATTAAAGCAAAAATTGTAGTTAATGGTTTGTTAATGAATTAATGACGAAGTGTGACCATTTTTTTCTTGTTTTTACACAAACTCGCCATGCAGCTCGTGTTTTTTTTTATTATTATTATTTTTTTTTATATATATATATTTTTTTATATTCACATCTACGGTACCTTTTAATAGAAGTCTCTCATGGTCACCAAGACTGCTTTTATTTGATCAAAAATACTGTAAAACAGTAATACAATAAAAAGTTATTACATTTTAAAATGACTGTTTTCTATTTTAATATGTTTTAAAACCATGCAGCTCGTGTTTTTTTTTATTATTATTTTTTTTTTTTATATATATATATTTTTTTATATTCACATCTACGGTACCTTTTAATAGAAGTCTCTCATGGTCACCAAGACTGCTTTTATTTGATCAAAAATACTGTAAAACAGTAATACAATAAAAAGTTATTACATTTTAAAATGACTGTTTTCTATTTTAATATGTTTTAAAATGTCATTTATTCCTGTGAATGGCAAAGCTGAATTTTCAGCATCATTACTCCAGTCTTCAATGTCACATGATTCTTCAGAAATCACTCTAATGCTGATTTGGTGATCAAGAAACATTTCTTATTATTATTAATATTAAAAACAGTTGTGCTGCTTAATCTTTTTGAGGATTCTTTGATGAATATAACATTCAAAAGAACAACATTTATTTGAAATAGATTGTCTTTGCTGTTACTTTTGACCAGTCTGCCTAGCTGAATAAAAGTATTATTTCTTTCCAAAAATAGTAAATACCCCATACCTTCGAGCAAGTTCATTCTTTCCGTTCTTTCCAGTTGGACTTTCTTTTCATTTCTTTCCATCTGTTTTTTCAGAAATGCATACAATTTGCATAACTGCTCTTCAAAATGGACATTTCCCAGTTCATACACATTGTATATTTTCAGGGGGGGTGTTATAGACGTTGAACAAAAATATACAGTTTAAACTGTTTAAAGGAACTATTTAATCTCTAATGAGCACATGGCTCTTTCTGTATATCAGCATATTAATTCACTTGTGGCATTGGCGTCGAGCGAGTCATATTCCTTACACCAGGAGTCTCTAGATTTTAGTGATCTTAGTATGAGAGCATTTTAGGCTGGGGTCTGTTGACAGTGTTACAGTCTGTTATAGAAAGAGGAACAAACAGTCCTGGCTCAGGTCAGAGCAGAGAGGTGGAGAGGACAGCACCTGCTGCGTGGGAAGGCCGTGTGGCACGGACGGAAGGGCGAGAGGAGCAGGAGGTTTTCGTGTTTGCAGTGTCATTTTAGGATGATAGTGATTTGTAACAGTCTTATGTTTACACATGTAATCTCATGTCACTGTTTACTTTAACTGTAAATGGGAACAATGAAACATCAAATTAAAATTCAATCAAAATCAAATTTCGACCTTATAAAATGTATGTAAAATGACAGTAAAAGTTTCCAGAGGTTAGATTATAGTATTCTAAAGCAATGCTGAGTGAAATACTAATTCTTAAAGGCACAAAAAGGGGTAAGATTAATCGTGATTAATCAAAATTAAAATCCCCCCCCCCACACACACACACACACACACACACACAAAAGGTTTTTGTTTATATAATATGTGTGTGTACTGTGTATATTTATTATGTATGTATAAAGACACACATAAAGTATATATTTTGAAAATATTTACATGTACTTAATTAGTACATACTATACTATAATTTATATTATATATAAATATATTTTAATATATAAACATAACATATTTTCCTTAAATATATACATGCATGTGTGTGTATGTATATATATATACACAGTACACACACATTATGTACACAAAAACTTTTATTTTGGATGCGATTAATCGTGATTAATCGTTGCCCAGCACTAGTTAGAAGATTATGATACATAGTCATAAAAACATACATAATGGGTGTTTTGCCACACAATTCTTTAGAGTAACGATATAAATGGACCCCAGGGAAGAAAATCATGATTTATGATATGATCACTTTAAGAATTACTTTTATTTTAGGAAGGATTTTTAACCGACACTTTTGTCTTTATATAATTCTTCAGATTTGATTGACTTATTTGGACTTCAGAGATGGTTACTGTCATGAAGCTGTTACTTATCCATTTGTTACCCACTGTGTTATCTAGTAGTATCCAGTGAGGATGCTGGAGGAAATTTATCGCATGCAGTGTGAGTATGTGATGTTAATGCCCGTGGAGTACTCAAAGCGTGGGCAGATTCTTAGTCCAATAGATGCCTTCACAGGAGGCACCTCTAATGTGTTATGCCACACACACACACACACACACGAATCTCCTCTGATCCAGCACTGACTCACCCGTCACTTTCCCTGCTTGTCTGGTTCTCTCTGCAGGAACGCATCTTCCTGACGTTGTCCAACTACATATTTACTGCCATCTTTGTGACCGAAATGACAATAAAGGTAGGTGACGGGGTTGGCATTTGTCTCTGTGTGGTGTCGTCTCTGACAGAGGGTAAACTAACAGACCTACTGGGCCAGAATACCAGTCAAAAGCAGACTAACTTCGGTTCCCTGTGGCTTTTTTTTATAGTGCCGATCTCTCTTAGATCAGTGTGGCTAATGGAGTCTGGTGAAAACATTACTGTCACAGGCTTTTCAGCCTATCTTGCAGCCCTTTTACTTTAAAGAGTCAGTTCAGCCGAAAATAAAATGACCTTCATCTCATTCTAAACCTTTCTTTATTCTGTAGAACACAAATGGAGAAATTTTCAATGCTGTGCTTATCACCATTTTTCATGTAATTACAAGCTTGTGAGCTTAAAAATAGATGAAGGCATCATAAAATGTAATATTCACAGAAAATATTAATATCAGTCCTATCTCTTCTTGACACATTTATGACAGAAGCAGTAACGTCTGATCACTAAACAAATCATTCGGTGGAATCATATCTTATCAATGAATTGCTTGATCCAGTTCACAAATGATTCATTCATCAAAGAAATTATAAGATGTTTATTTGATTCAGCAGTTTTATTTATTTATTTTTGCTATTTAAGATTTTAAAGTTACCTGTATTCAGATATGTAACATGAATATAATTCAAAGCATTGCTTAAATGTTAAAAACAGTTGTGCTGCTTAATAGAGAAACAATTATTCATATTTTTTTCAGAATTCTTTGATGAATATAAATTTCGAAATATAATTCAATCATCTGTTTGCAGTGGTAAATAGCTCACAGAAAGAAGACTTCAGAAGACTTGCTTTATAGTGCACAAGACATACATGCATATATATATACTTTTATGATGCTTTTGAGTTTCATTAATTGCAAAAACAGATCTCTCCTTTTGTGTTTCACAGAATAAAGTAAGTTGTGCAGGTTTGGAACAATGTGAGGGTGAATAAATAATGACATAATTGTCATTTTGGGTGAATGATCCCTTTAAGGCACTGCTTTCCTTTGACAATTACAAAGTCTAAACAAAGACTACAGCAGCAAAATATTAAAATCACACTCTGACATGTTCAACTGCCGCCAGTCAGCTGAATTAAACATTTGAAGAAATGCAGGTCCTAAATAGAGCCCACTGACATGAAGAGTCTATTAAGCAAGCCTTGCTCTCTATTTTCCACTCTTCACCACAGCAGTTAATACTAAGTAGGGGCGGATTGTCTGCCAGATATTCAAATGACTGTCGTTGAAATGGAAGAACATGCTGAGGCCTCTCTGGAGAAGACAGAAAAGTTCATAGGTGTCAGTCACAAAGGTCTAGGGTTTCTATTTTGGGGCCCTGCTTTATGGCAGGTCACGCCCACCCAAGAGATTTCAAATGAAAATCATGGCACAGAATAATCATACTCACTGGAGGTTAATTAACGGCGACTGACGAAAACTTTCCAGGTTGGATGAAGATGACAGGGCTGTTAAAACTCCTGGCTTTTGTTGCCTGACATTCCTTTGTTCACTTTGAGGTCTGATCACATTGTGGTTTGATATATTCACCAGCAACATCCATTAGGAGCTGCGTATTCATGCTTAGCACTTTTTAGTCAGATGATTCTCACTCCTGGTTTGTTTATCTCAGCTTTTCTCCCCCCCCCTCTGAGCCCTTTTATATGCCAGCTGTATGCCAGTCTAACCTGATACGTTCTCAGAAATGCCACAGTAGTGTGACAGAGACCTCAAGGGAATAAGAAAGTGTTTCTTCCCAAATTCAGATTTCAAACACATCATGTTTTCTCACGTTTCCTGTCATGTGCATAGTTTTTCTAACAGGTTTTGGTTTTGAAAGAATTTCTTTCTATATTTCTATAGCAGGGTGCATATTTTTATGAAATTGTGTGCATTTTTAACATCTACAAAATTAATTTGTCATGAAAGCTACAGTAAACAAAATTCATAATTGTGAAGGATACAGAAAATATGCTTTACAGATGTAATTTCTTAAAGTAGTTCACCCAAAAATGAAAATTTGCTGAAAATGTACTCACCCTCAGGCCATCCACGATGTAGATGAGTTTGTTTCTTCAGAGGAACATATTTAGAGATATTTAGCATTACATCACTTGCTCACCAGTGAATCCTCTGCAGCGAATGGGTGCCGTCAGAATGAGAGCCAAACAGCTGATAAAAACATCACAATAATCCACAAGTAATCCACATGACTGCAGTCTTTCAGTTAACGTCTTGAGAAGTGAACATTTGCCTGCTTGTAAGAAACAAATCCAACAAGAAGTTTTTAACTTCCATCCTCTATTCACAATATTGCTTTCTCCAGTGAAAAAGTCATCTCGCCTGAATCAGGAGAAAAATCAAGTGCTGTTTACAAGCAAATACAGTCCTAAACAGTTATGATTATCATCAGTGGATTTTGGTGTGAGCGGACAACAGGGCATTATTATGGATTATGGACTTGTATTTTGTCTAGAAGCGATGGTTTAAAGTTAAAATGCCTTAATGATGGATTTGTTTCATACAAACATGCACTGGAGTTGTGTTGATTATTTGTGATGTTTTTATCAGCTGTTTGGACTCTCATTCTGACGGCACCCATTCACTGCAGAGGATCAGTTATTGACCAAGTGCTGTATTGCTATATTTCTCCAGATCTTTTTAGATGAAGAAACAAACTCTATCTAAATCAAATCTAAATCGAGGGTGAGTAAATCTTCAGCAAATATTCATTTTTGGGTGAACTATTTATTTAAAGTTGAACACTTTTATTTTTGCAAAAGTTTTAATTTTGACTATTATGGTACAATCAGTCCGTCTTCCATTTTTCAGACAAACAGTTCAACCTACAAATGGCTGACTTGGACTAGAATAAACGGTTTTATCATGAAAATGTACACAATTTGGCTTTAAGTGAAATTTTATCCAACATTTCCACTTTAAAATCATATCTGTTGTTGTTGTGAAGGTGGTTGCTTTGGGCTGGTGTTTTGGGGAGAATACCTACCTGAAGAGCAGCTGGAACATTCTGGATGGCATGCTGGTGATGATCTCCGTGATTGACATCCTGGTATCCATGATCTCCAACAGCGGCACCAAGATCCTGGGAATGCTTCGGGTGCTACGTTTACTGAGGACCCTGCGGCCGCTCAGGTACACTGATCACAACACAACTCTTCAGACATCCAGTCAGTGTAAATAATAGTAACGATTACATCAAAGCTTTAATGCACAAGTGCACCACCTGCAATGCTGTAGGCTACATACATAAACACTTATATGTACATCTTCGGGTCAGAGTGCTAGATTTGCACATCTTGAATCAGCATCCACTTTCTTACAAGAAGCATAATTAATGTAAAGACTGAAGTCCCACAATTAGCCTCTTCCTCACAGAAGCATCAATTAGCTCCTGATCGATGCAGTATGTAGCGGTGTTTGTGTTTATGCATATGTATGTGTGTGCATATGTGTGTATGCTGTGCATCTTTCCTGCAGAGGGAACTTCCCTACTCTTAAATATTTATGACACATTCAAGCAGAAAATAAAAATCAAATATTCATCTTTCCTGCCCAGTTTCCACACAAAATGCTTACAGTGGTCTTTCACCTCCAGTCGCTCCCTTCTCAAGTACTCCTCAATTTAGGGTCAACTTCCGTAAGTTCCTTAAACTCCCAAGAGACTTGTATTAAAAATACATCATATTCCGGTAGTTTTGTTTGTACTTGCCTTTCAACTCTGTTGGTGCAACGTTAATGTGCCGTCAACAACATTTCTGAAGAGGAACTGGTGGGAAAATTGACCGTTTGGATTTGTTTTTGCATTTTATTCATGTTTCTCTGTCAGATACAAGGAACTTTCAATTATTAAATATCAAAAATCAACAACTTTTATTTTTGCTTACATTTGTATTTATCTTATAATATTTATACTGCATTAATGTAAATTACATACTTTTGCACCTGTGAGCTTCTAAAGAGGAAAAGAAGTTACATTACATTAACTCAATAACATTTCTGAAAGGGAAAGAAAAATGACTATTAGGGTTTGTTATAGAATTTATGTAACTATTCGTTCTGTACACATGCACACTGAACCGAAACACCTATACCAAAAATATTTGATATGGATAGATCTACTGTTGCACTACTGTTATATATATATATAGAGAGAGAGCATACAGTATATAAATATGTGTGTTTGTGTCTATGTATGTATATATTTTTGTACATGCAGACTAGTAAAGAGAAAAAAGTTGCTGAGGGAAAAAAAGACCATAATTACATTAATTCAGTGAGAAATTATAAGCAACCCGGGTATAACCAATCTTGGCTCTGGATCCCCAGCGCCTGGTCTGCTAATTATTGACCTCTGGTGTGGATTATCCCTGCACATACTTACCTTTTCCTGAATCCATGATTTTCTAGTCTTTTTATTAGTATTTTAATTTGTGCTGATAAAGCATGCTTGTTTGCTGAACTGCATCGTGCCAAATAGGGATGAGGTTTTTGATATGACGGATAAGTCTTCCAGCAAATCTTTTAAGGCATCCTTCACCAGTTTGCTAAAACAGCTAATATGTGATTCATGTCACTATCCCTGAGCATCACTATTACTCCACTGCTACTGAATAGTGCATAGAGATCCAAGCATACCCTTATAGATAATGAATAGTATGTGGAACAAATCTTGAATTCCTTTTTATGATTTTATTCTGATGAAGTATTGAAGTTTATCCACTAGTGGCATAGTTACATAAGGTGAATTAACCTTTAAACAGTCTGTGTGATAAGGTCCTATTATAACTAATGACAGTTGCTTCGGTTGACTGTCAGAAAATGTAGAGCACTCTGAGAGAAAAAAACGCCCTGTAAATTAAACATGAAGCGTCTGTGTTTTCACCTCGAGCTCCTCTGCGTGAACATTTTAAAGATTCTCAAACAGAGTTTCTTCCACTGCCAGAACGCTCTGCTTCAGAGAACTTTACTGTGTGTGTCTGCCTCTGCACCACCGAACACCTTTTGAAAGTTTTACTTCTTGATCCTTCCCTCGACAGACTTTATATTAATGCACCTCTGTGTGAAGTCCAAGATGAAATCAAAAGAAAGACAAAGACAGCTGTAAAAAGTCTCCACAGCGTGGGCTCGGCTACTCCGGCAAAAGTGAATTCAGGGAGGGGTGGGTAATCCAGACCACATGTGTATCTGGACCACTCTGTGCAGTGAGTTTAAAGGGACAGTTCACCCCCAATTTAAAAATTCTGCTATTGTCTGCTCACCCTCATGCATTTTGAATCTGGAATGACTTTCTTCTTTTATTTTAGCAAGGAGCCCGAGCTGCTCTTTTCCATAAATTCAAAGTGAATGCTACCATGGCTGTCAAGCAAGACTATAATAATTTAAATAAATGTTACTATTATTAATAGTCCATTTCCAATGTATTCACACATTTTTTCCAATAATCTTTTTATTTTATTTTATTTTATTTTATTTTACCAAGGCTGCATTTATTTGTTTAAAATACTATAAAAAGTGTAATATTGTGAAATAATTTTGCAATTTAAAGAAAGTTTATTTTTTAATATATTTTAAAATGGAATTTATTCTTGTGATGGCAAGGAATTTCTTATGTTGAAATCTGCTTGGAAACTGTATTACTTTTTGCATTATTATTATTATTAATAATATTATTGTTATTATTTTATTTTTTAATTCTTTGATGGAATAGAAGGTTTAAAAGAATGGCATTATTTGAAATAGGTTTTTTAAATGTATTTATTTTTAGGATTTTTTTATCCTAAAAAAAAGTTTATCCTAAAAAAAGTTTTGTATGCTTTTATGGAGCTTTTTGATATTTGACAGCCTCTATTCCCCACTCGTTTTCATTATATGGACAAGAGCAGCGTAAACATTCTGCAAAACGTCTAATTTTGTCATACATATTTGGAATGACAGGAGCATAAGCAAATAATAACAGAATTAAAATTCCCTCTGAGAGGGGTTGATACTGTAAGCCCATTAATTAATTTGAAAATCTGTGTTGGACAGTTAAAGTTTGTGTACTCCTTATAAAGTATTAATGGCATTGTTACAGAGATGTGTCTCTTTCCGTCTTTAGACAGGATGATTTATGCTCTGTGTTAAGGGGTGATGTGCACACTCTGTATATTCATCAACTCTTTGACCCCCAGGTTAAACCCCTCCACTGTATGTTGCACTGCACGTCACCCTCGCGGATCTAAATTAATCTCAAAAGCGCATAAAGAACCATCCATCCTCTACTGTCTGCCTGAGCCCCAGAGGAACAGTCTCCTGCTTGACCTCTTCGCAATGCAAATAACCTGACATAATGTACCGCTTTATTATTGTTTGTGCTCATTAATTCTCACGCTAATTACAGTTCTGCTTCTTTCACAGTGCCTGTCCACTCTAAGGCATTTGTTAAGCTAATCTAACCATGCTTGACTTGAAGCAAGTTAGTTTTTCTACATTGTCTATTTGCTGTAATTAGAAGGACAAAGAATTGCAGCAAAAGACAATAAGGACAGATTGGCTCTTTCAGATTTCATCTGGAACTGATTGATTTCGTTTACTTAGCATCTTTGCAGATGTCCCTTATGTCTTATTGTTTTTAGATAATTGCTTGTGTACTGGATTATGTGAGGGTGCTAGGATGGAGATAGAGAGAATAAGTTCAGTCATTATTTCTTCACTGGTGCATTAAAACAACACCAGGATGAATAAGTAATGACTGATTTTTTAGGTGAACAATCCCTTTAATATCTCCTTTTTTGGTCTGCGGAAGAAAGAAAGTCATACAGGTTTGGAATGACATGAGAGTGAGTAAATAATGAGAAAATTTGCATTACATCTGCTTTTATGCTGCTGTTTTTACTCCCGTCTTTTTTATAGGTTTTTTCTTTGTCCTTTGACGGATGTCCTCAGATTGTGTGCTTGCTGTGTGTGTGTGTGTGTGTGTGTGTGTCAGGGACACACAGCTTGAATCCCCCAAACTGACGGTTCCCAGCCCAACTACAGCATCCTTTAATTACAGCCAGGATGAAAATGTGTCTCTGTGTTCTGGGAATAAGAGGCTCCTTCAGTGCTCTAGTTATTGTTCCCTTCTTAATTTATTTATTTATTAAAACCTTTCAGAACACAAAGACCGGATCGGAGCTATGAATATGGGAAATTCAGCATTTCTGAAGGCTTGCAGAACACAGTAACTATAACACACGTGCCTACAGACCAGAAGAATGCATCTGCATCACATTATAAAAATAGGACCACCATCCTGGTTTCTCACCAAAACAAAACAAAACAAACAAAAAAAATATATATATATCATGGTATTTACAATAGTACCATTATATTTTATCATACTATGGTAATCATTCCGTACCGTGGCGTATGGTGTTACCATTTGATATTTTCAAAATGCCCTGTTTATTTTTCTCCTACTGCTCTCTTTTAATATTATGTAAATACATGCTAAATTGCACAAAATCCCATATTTACACTTTTATCTGTATAAGAACATAAGTTCAATGTGTTCTGGAATGTCTACTGTATTGAAAAACATTACTGGCGCAACACTTCAGACAGTAGCGCCCTCTATTGGTCAGGGGTTGAAATTTCATGATGTTAGACCAGTATTGATAGTATTATTTATATACAATATTTATTGATATTTTGATTTGACTTTTTAATTTTAGTTTACATTTTAGTAGTTTTATTTGATTTTTGTTTAGTTTTTTTATTTTCTGTTCAGCTTTTTAGTTCTTACAACTTTTTTTCATCTATTCATATTTTATTTTATTTGATATTTCAGTCCAAGCTTTATTTCAACCAATAAAAACTATTTTTAATTGTTTTAGTTAGTAAACAAGTCATATCATTTCACTAGACTGTCCCTCTCAAATTCAGTCAGAGCGTGGGTCTAGACGTATTGATCCTTTTCACCATTTTACATTTGCATAACTGATTTTACGGTATTACCTAAAATCCCCCAAGTGAGCTTTGATAAATATGCTTGAGCTTGTGAAGATGCATGCAGATATTCAGCCAAACAAAGGACACAGCAGCCTGTTATCTGCACTCCCTTTTGGCAGACTCCTTTCTCAAGCAGTCCCTTTGACTAAACCTGATTGGTCTCTTTAAATGTGGCCTTTTCTTCATCCTCAGACACTGATACAATCACAGCACACTTCTTAAGAAGATCAAAGCTGAGGATCAAATCAGGTTTTTGCCTCTTTAGCTCAGTTCTGTGGTGAGGAGCCAGAAATCACTGTCACCAGATGAGGACTAATGTGCCTTTTATTCTTTATTTTGAAGGGAGAAAAATGTCTGAACTCTTTTTGTGTGTGTGTGTGTGTAGTATCATAAACATCTTTCAGTATTTTAAGTTTCTGCACTGCGTCTGGATCCCCTGCTACTGCTTTAGGTCCTCAATTGAGTCCCATTACCATCAGTTCAACACAAACAGCACCACAGATTAAAGCCTATTGCCTTTTACAGCTCCCTTAAGAGTATAATTTTACATGTTATGCATTGTTCTTACAGACAAACAGTTGGTCTTGAATCTGTCTGCACTACTTTTTAATTGTTAGTCTTGCATTAGATGGACATCTTTGACCATTTAAGCACCTTTCATTGGTTTTTCATTGGTCTCGTGCCATGAGTGCAACATTTTTAAGACAGCATGTTAACTTTAAAGAAGCCAAACTTTTAAAAACACATGTTTTCTGTTCCCTTTTAGTTGTTTTAAAAAAAAAAGAACACACCCTGACCTCTAAAGCAGCTGAATTATTGTTACAGCTGTGTGTTTGTGTTACATATGTTATTGTGTGTGTCTTTGTGAGCAGGTGTCTTTGTGTCACTGTTGGTGCCACCCTCCGCAGAGGTTGACAGGTGCAGTTCTGTGCCGGATGTCGTGGCGTTAATAATTAGGCTTCAATCTTTATTCCGGCGGTTTAATTAAAACTGTCTCCTTTCTTTGCAGCACAGAAAGTTTCCCGACAGCATTGCATTGCGGTTGCTTAGCATAATGGCGAGGGCATGAAATGTTTGCTGGTAATTGACATGCTCAGTCGTAGAGGAGGTAGTGATTGCAGCAATGATGGAATGCCAAAAGTAGAGAAAGCTGACTAATGTCAGGTCAGTGAAAGCATGGGAAACATTTATTCACTCGCAGGCTCTGGCCAGGCAAGGACTGAGGAGTTTAAGGACCCTTTCTGAATTTACAACTATGCAGCTCATCATTCAAATGCGCATAGTTAGGATAGTAAAATAAATTGGCTTATCAGGTTTTAAAAGAAAGGAGAAAATGCTTCCCATGTATTTTATTATTAGTCAAAGATAGTATGTCTAATTCAACTTTTTTTTCCCAAATTCATCTCGCAAAGCTATTCAGAAAAACTGTGCGATGAAGCCATTTGAAATTTAGTGTGTAAATGCTTTATTTTGACAGTCCTAAATATACTAATAAATCAAATTATTTATTGTTATTAATATAAATTAGGACTGTCAAACGATTTATCGTGATTAATCGCATCCAAAATAAAAGTTTGTTTACATAATCTATTTGTGTGTACTGTGTATATTATGTATATATACTGTAAATACACACTCATACATATATATTTGAAAAATATTTATATGTATATATTTAGATTTATGTATAAATATAAAATTGTCCTAAAGTTCACTGTATATCATAGTAATAAATACCATTTATTACAGCATTGATATTTTGTTTTCTTTTTAATTTATACACATTAAATATTACATATATGTATGTAATAAAATGTGTATTTCCATTAGAGGTTTAGGTCTTAAATTTCATATAAGGTGGTATTAAAAAGGTCTTAAAAAGTCTTAAATTTAACTTGTTCAAGTCTGCAGAAACCCTGTACACAGCCCTTTAACAGCCCTAAAATATAGTTATGTAACGTGATAGTAAAAATCAAAATAAGTAATTTTGTAAAATGTTTGTTTGTTTTTCCTGAGAAAGTATTTTCTGTGTTGAGTTTCCTTTTGATTTCCAAATGGAAAATCATGGTCCTGAAGCAAAAACCAGCTGAGAACCTCCAGGCAAGTTAAACATCTGTTCTCTTGTTGGATTTTCAGAGTGATCAGCAGAGCTCCAGGACTGAAGCTGGTTGTTGAGACACTGATGTCATCCCTCAAGCCTATCGGGAACATTGTCGTCATCTGCTGTGCCTTTTTCATTATTTTTGGCATCTTGGGAGTTCAGGTAAGTACAAAACAGCATAACCTTGCAGAAATCACAAGTGTAAACCAGTTTAAAATGGTTTTCTGATGGTAAAATGGGTCGTTTGAGAGAGGCATTGAGCACTTTTCAGCTTGGTCAGCATGGTAGGCCATCTTAAACCAGTTTAGACCAGTTTTAGCTAAATTTTTTAGCTGGGAAGTTAGAACTGCTACCTTACAGTTATATAGTTGATATAGCCTAATACTTCTTGCTTGGATCAGACTATTAAAGTAAAAGCCAGTCTTAACTTTAGGGATTAATTGTAGTAATTCCTTCTAAGAAACCATCATATATAAAGTAACATAACATTTGACAGCTCTGTGTGTTTAATCCACAAGATTGCATTTAAGACTTTTAGTGAGAGAGAAAGAGGTAGTACACAGAACAAATACATGATTTTCTGTCATTTCTGTAAATTTGAAACATGCTCTTCCTGCCCACAGCTGAATAATTTGACTATGATTAAAATGCTCTGTTTTCCATATTTCCACAATTTACATAAGTCCGTAGGGGAACGCCGATGTAATTTATCTTCTATTCTTCCAGGAAAAGATGCATGTGCTCTTTGTGCCTGTACAATGTGTCATGTGTAACATTGACTTTGTCCTTGTATGGTTTTCACTAAGCAGTCATACTGGACTTTCAATAATGGAGACATAACCATCTTGTATGAAGTTGTAACATGTATTTTTAAATAATTAATATAATTAGTTAATATGCAGTTCTGGTAATATGGACTTTTTTATATAATTGAAATTTAAACTTTGAATTTCACAACCTCTTCTTCTTCCAATATATATCCAATATGTATGTATTTCTGTTTATTTTCTCAAGACACATGATATCTATCGTAGTGGTTGAAATGTGTGGTATTCCAAAAGATCTCTCGCAGAGAAAAGGAAGGTTGGTTGTGAGCTGATAAATTTGCTTTTTCCTCACAGCTCTTCAAAGGAAAGTTCTTTGTGTGTCAGGGGGAGGATACTAAGAACATCACCAACAAGTCTGATTGCCTTCAGGCTAACTACAAATGGCTCAGGCACAAGTACAACTTTGATAACCTTGGGCAGGTAAGCGTTTATACTGGCAGTGGTTACACAAACATTCATGCTCTGTCTCAAGATGCTCTTTTAGACATACCTACAAGCGACTGGTAATGCCACTTTCAATTTGAAAAGAATCCGTTATGGTCTCATCCCATTTTCAACAAAGTCAAATGTAGCCACTGAAGTCAAAGATTTCTTTTAATTTTTTTTTTATCATCTCTCACCTCCCTCAGGCCCTCATGTCCCTTTTTGTTCTGGCTTCCAAAGACGGTTGGGTGGACATAATGTACGACGGACTGGATGCTGTTGGTGTCGATCAGCAGGTATTGACTGTATCAGAAGCTCCTATTACCTGCATAACATTTTATTGTAATAATATTTATACAGATTTTCATGCTTGTGGATTCACTGTGGACAGTGTGGCAACCTTGTTTAAGTGGGTCACTGTGAATGTCATTCGCATTCTCTGATAGCCGCAAACTCTGATTGGACAACTCTATGAACTGAATCAGAGCTGAAAAATCATTGGTCAGCATTCCTGTACTGGCTTCAAAGAACTGCTTTTCCATTCATCAGTTCTTCTGTGAAGGTCCTTACTGTCCATTCAACAGATCTCTTTGAAGTGACTTATTTTACACTCTTCTTCCAAATGTCTATTTTTTTTAATACAGTTTGAATTTTTGAATAATTTTGAATTAATTTTTGAGTAATAAAATATAGGATTTTTTGTTATATAGGTCTCCATGCCTCATGTCTGGCTGTAGGCTCCTGAAATTATTCTGCTCTATTTGAACAGAGCCCAGCCCTTGTCCTAGCCAAGGCCTTTATGTGTTTGAATTGGAACAGATATCTCTTCTTCAAATTCATGCCGTGTGGCCTGTGCCTCACCATTGCACACAGAACGCTTAATCTAGCCTAGAGGCATCTTTCGGGTGCCCAGTAGGACAGACCTTTGAACTGAAATGTTATTGATGTCCCAATTCTCCAGCATCATCATCTTGAACATGGCTGTAACTTACTCCTGGGGACCTGACACAGCAACTGATATATTGGTTTTTACAAAGAAATTTTTTTTGGTATTATATTATATTATATTATTATATATATATAAAAAAAATATATATATATATATATGTGTGTGTATATATGTATATGTGTGTGTATATATGTATATATGTGTGTATATATATATATATATATATATATGTGTGTGTGTGTGTGCGTGTGTGCGTGTGTCTGTGTGTGTAATGGCTGTTAACCTCCGACCCAGCAATAGTGTATGTTGGTTTGTATAAAGAACATTTTTTAATATTAAATTCTAATTAAATAAATAAAATCTGTCGCTACAAATTAAATTATAATTAGCCTAAGCATTAATTTGTGTACATTAGTGTGCACTCTGTACATTAATCCGTGTTGTGTTTTTCTGTGTTGTAGCCCATCATGAATTACAACCCATGGATGCTGCTCTATTTCATCTCCTTCTTGCTGATCGTGGCTTTCTTTGTGCTCAACATGTTCGTCGGCGTGGTGGTCGAGAACTTTCACAAGTGCCGGCGGCACCAGGAGGCCGAAGAAGCCAAACTGCGCGAGGAGAAGCGCCTTAAACGCATGGAGAAAAAAAGAAGGAGTAAGGAGAAGGAGCTAGCTGGTCGGTAGCCTTTCCACACCTTTCTGAGTCCTGCTTGATCATTTTGATTTGACCGCGTGCTAAATTAGATGCTAATTAGTGACTGGCGTATGAGGAATGAGATGCTCGGGCCCGTAATTAGCTAGGAATCTGCCCCTCCCCGGCTTGCCCCCCTTTTGCCTGGGAACGTCTCTAGAGCATGTCCCATGGCTTGCATGGTGATCTGCTTACTGAGAGAGCAGGGTGTGCGGTGGACCCCTGCCCCAGGGCTCTGCCCACCCTCCTCCTCTCATGCATGTAGGGCAGTGCAGTCTGAGAAGTAAATAAAAAATCTTGTCCCACTCAAATTGGTTACATCCATCAGCTGCCTGCTCCGATGCTACCCAGGATGCACGGCGTGGTATTAATGACCTCCTCTTTTGGTTCCACTGCCTGCTATTTTCAACACAAGCCGTTAGCATTAAAACAACATCATTGAGAATCTCCGTGTGGATGCTAGCCCTTGTTTGGACATTGGCTTGGACATTGGTCCAGCATGTTTGATCTTTACAGTTAAAAATGGGAATTTCTGTTTTTTTAAGCCCTTGAGAAATACAGATGTAAATAGGTGATCTATAAACTATAACATTTGAGTCAGACCACGAGATCAGAGACTAAAACTCATGCAAGGCAAACAAAGCTAGTCTCATTATTGGTACTTTATCATCTTATCTCAGTTCAAAGGTAAAATCTAGTATTCTCTAAATGTACTGTCGCACCATAGTTTCTCATGAATATCTATATTTGATTTGCGCATTAGCTGATTAGTGTGTCCTTTGTTTTATAGCGCTTTATCATGCCATCAGTTCTAGCTTGAGAGGAAAAGGTGCTTTATTTTACCTTGCTTCAACTTTTCTTTTTGCTACCGATCTAATTTTCCGTAGGTGTGAATGTTTGACGGGATGTGTCAGGTTTCCGGGGTGGAAATGGGATTAAACCGTATGTCAGCTTTGCCTGGCCTGATTAATATTTTGAAACTTCTTTTTGAATGTAATATCTAAATATCCTGAGGTAACTTTGTGGACTTTTGCTATAAAAAGCTGAGCGGAAAAGTTGTGGTTCCTTTCAGGTGAACTTGTTGGTATCATTAACTGAAAAAGTGAAAAGTTATTTGTTTGCCAGACATTTCCATCCACAAAGTATTTCAAGAACAAAAATCTAGGGCTAATAATGTAGGGCTCGAACAGCTGGGATAAATAGATTTAGTATTAGTGTTTTACACATAACAACAGGGTTATTTTGGACTCAGAATAATTGGAACGCCCACCGGCATATTCTCCCAGAAAATCCATCCTATTTCAGCTCCTTTGACGGTTTCTTTGCTTGCCCTTCCTGATTAACATGGTTTCGTTCTTCTAGATGTAATGCTGACTGGTGTCAGTTGGTCCAGTCCCGATCACACACAAGGTACAGATTGCTTATGGCATGTCTATGTGTTCACCGTGGTGGTGGTTTTGGGACGAGGGTGGGAGAGGGACACCGGGTGGGAAGGCACCATCAGCGCCATGTTCTCACCTCATCAGATCTGATCTGACCACACAAGAATTGTCTGTGGAAGTGTGTATGTCCGGTTTTTCCACACCTCATCACCAGCTCCAGCCAGCCCAGCCTCAAGCTCACACAGGGGATGGATAGAGAGAGAAAGGGAGAGAAAAACCGCAAATGTCATTTTTAATATGGTTCTAGTTCTTGATAAACTCACCTCAGCCTGCAGTAAATGCTCTGGTGGTATCACAGGTCCGATCTCTCGATGTTGCCCCCAATGTGACGCACTGTGGCTGACTGTTCGAAGGGAAGAGTATCGCTGTTAATGTCTTTAGCTTTTATTGATCTGTTTTTGTTTTGTTTTTTTCTCATCGGTTTGGTGTTGTGGCGTAGTGATTCACTTCGTTTTGTGATGTTGCCCCATAACGCTGTTTTCAAAGTTACTGACATGCTAAACACAACACCACAACACACCTTGCTGTTGTTCAGAGGCTGCATGACGTGTTAATACTCATTTGTGACTTACGTGAGTGAAATGTTTGTATGGCACACTTGTTCCACTTTGACTTAAGGAAATGTTGCTATAATGGGCTGCTTTATGTGTTTTTATTTGATAGCAATATTTTGAGTACAGCTGGCTTGTTTTGGATATAAGAGGGTATAATACAAGATTTGTTTTGGTACAATACTGAAATATTGGAATGTATAAGCTAGGGCTGCAACTAACAACTATTTTGATTATTTATGATTGAGCAAGTATGGTCAAAAATTTTTTTAAATTTAAAGTTTATAATATATATATATATATTTATTTTTTAAATAAAATTTTGTTTTAATTCATTACGCCTGCTTTTCTCCTTTTTCACTTTTGAAGCATTTCATGCTTCAATTACAGACAATTTGAAACCTAAATTTGATGTCTGTCATGAAAATGTAACCGTAATAGTGACACATGAACACTTTCTCACTGTTAGGACTTGCTGTTTTGCATAACAGAAGTACTCACATTATAACAGTATATCAGTAAATTGTACAAGACCATTCAAAACTTTGATTGCAATTGATCAAAAGCAACATTACAGTTTATAATGATACAAAAAAATGCTGTTTAAATGTTGCAGCCCTAGTATTAGCCATATGAAACCTGAATAAAATGGAATTTTATTTTATTTATTATTTATTTATATATATTTTTTCGGGTCCTCTCCCCTCCCAAAGTTTGATCTGCTGTACAGAAACAAACGCCTATTACAGTTCTTTTAAAAAAAAAAAAAAAAATTGGCAGTTATATAACACAAAAAGCAGAATATTTTTGTGCATAGAACATGTTTACCCGTGTTGTTCTCAGTGTAGCTGAGAGTCTCTTATCTCTTCCCTTCTGTCTGTGTTCTGCCTCTGTGAACAAGAGCTCCCTCATGAACCCCTTTCCTTTTCTCCTCTCTGCCTCTCTTTCTTTCCTACTCTCTCTTTCCCTCTCTTTCCAACTTTCTCTTGTCTCTCTTTGCCCCCATTCCCCTAATGTTCTTGCAAAATATCTATCTTTCCTCTTTCTCAATTATGCATTTTAAAACCCTTTAATTATTTTTTTTTTATCACCAGTGTTTTTGGAGACTCCATAAAAAAACTACTGATGTGATCATTATTATACATTTGCCCATAGTAATGTGTAAAAATAGAGTATTGTAGACATGAACATCTCTTTTATGTTGAAAATTTGCATACACAGCTACGCTAATAAACACAGTAATGAATCCACACCAGGAGGAGTCAGTATAACGTCCAAGATGAATAAGCGAAAAAGAAAACAAAAACACAGTGAATGCACTTCCAATGTGTTTGGTATGTTGTTTATAAAGCTGTATATGCTTATATATTCTAACATGAGAGCTCTACAGATTAGCCTGATAGGTATAACTGTTGATTAGCATATGCTGTCGTGATCACACTTTTCCACGTTTTAAACACGGTTCACAGTTGCATGGTCAACATTGTTCACACTATGATTGAGTTATGTCATCGCACTTGGGATTAAAAAATGACAGGCTCCATTTTCCTTCCAATTAGAAGACAATGTGTAATTAGTTGACGATCCAGTTACAGTGAGCCTCAGCATATTTTATCATTCTGTTTTGGGTTTGTGTTTAGGAGAGGTGGGGGTGTTACCCCCCGCCAGTCTGTCTCTCTCGATTAGCTTCTGTTCCCCTCCTGCTGGACTGCCGTCGCTGCTATATGCTCGCGTGTGGGATCAAAGGGCTGGTTAATCATATCACGCTGCAGTAGGGCTGAAACCATCTGCCTCTCCTCTACCTGTGTCCTCCCCCAGTCACCATTTATTAGCCCTTCTCTGAGGTGCCTCATCAGAAATGTGTCCTGCCAGCAGTTTGCCCGGACACACTGTATTAACAAGGCATATCGTTTGGAGGTGTACTTGATTATATAGCATATCTGATTTACAAGTATATGTCCTTTTAGGCTGCAGCGTAGTAATAATTCTTATCCTGCTACAATCGAGGGATGTTTGCATTTTCAATCATCCATTCAAAATCAGGACGGTGCCTCATTGATAAGCATAAACAGAAGCTACAGATGGGTCCTTCTAAAAAGATGTTGACTTTTTGACTTTCAAAACATTGGATTTTTGAATTCAGTTCTTTTTTCTTTCAAAAAAAAGCTGTCAGTATGTACTTGTTAAATCTTGACTTATTCTTAATCGTAAGAAATGACTTGACTTATCATATTTATTTTAAAGGGATAGTTTACCCAAAAATGAATATTCTGTCTTTAATCATTCACCCTCATGTCGTTCCAAACCTGTAAGACCTTTGTTCATCTTCAGAACACAAATTATTTTTAATGCAATACGAGAGTTGCTGCATAGACAGCAACGCAACTGACACGTTCGAGGCCCAGAAAGGTAGCAAGGACATTGTTAAAATAGCCCATGTGACATCAGTGGTTCAACTGTAATGTTATGAAGCTACAAGAATACTTTTTAGTGTGCAAAGAAAACAAAATAATGACTTTATTCAACAATTTGTATTCTCTTCTGTGTCAGACTTAGATACACATTCATGAGAGTACCCCGTTTTAATAAAAAATATTTTACATGAAAATGAATAATAATTATATAATAATTAATAATTTTATAAAAATAATGTAATAATTAATAATTTAAAGGTAAATTACCTTTTCCAGTGTGATTGGAAAAATTACTAAATGCTGAAGTATGGATTCTTCTTACTCTTTACTTTTAAATATTTAATTCAGTTTATTTGCATAGTGCTTTGTACAATGCATATTTTTCCAAAGAAGCTTTACAGAAAATAGAAAAATAAATAAGATAAAAGGGGAAAAAAGCAGTGCTAGACAACCCCCCCGAGCAAGCCAAAGGCAAGAGTGGCAAGGAGAAACACCATAGGATTTCAAGTATAAAAATTACTTATAATCTTTTTAAATATTTGTATTATTTATTTTGTTTATTTTTCCTGCTTAACTCAAAACAAACTGAATAAATTTACTGTAAATGTCAGAAGTTGCATACCATATGACTGTATTGTTAGTTTACCAAAAATGGAAAGGGAGGGGGGGGGGAATCTGCTAAATGTATTTCAACACGAAAAATGTAATAAACAAAGCAGAAATTACTACATTCTTATTCATAGTTTAAAGCGCAATCAGATGAGTTAAAACATGTAATTTATGAACTGGGATGTGTAGAACCTCATAAATGATGGATGTTCTAATCCTGTGGTTCTGCAGGCATATTCATTGGGTTCCATGCACAGAATCTACAGTTACCTTGAAAAACTTGCCCCTGATAGCAAATACGCCTTAACGAAGAATATAATATCAGCATTTATTTCATTTGTCTTTATGCACCCATGTAGAACTGGAGATATAACCCACCAATTTTTATTTTAATCTCTAGCAGGCAAGTATATAGTCTCTCGAATGTTACTGGGGGAGCGATGAGACGGCGAGTGACAGAGGGAGAAAATGAAATTACTAAGTGTCATGTAACCTCCACTCTTGGCAGCAGAAGGCAGCACGGTCGCTTATGTAACCTGGCAGCTCCAAACACCATTTCCTTTCTTCCTACTGCAAGTGAAAATGACTCAAAGTCTTCTTTATGTAACTTGGGCAAGCAACAGCCCCCCAAATTGAACAGATGGCATAAAGTTTTCAGCTGAAAGAGTTACTTTTGCTCCGATATATGTCAAGATGTGATCCTTTACCTCTAGATAGTTAGTGTATAAGCTATCTTGACTTTCTAATAGAGTCACAGTTGGATATAACACATGCTTTATGCAGTTTGTGATTAGGAAATGCATGGGTGGGTTTTATAAAGCCCATGTTTCCATCCTAAAATGTACTGTATATAACTAAAAACTCATTAACTGAAATATTCTGCTACCTTAAGGGTACAAGAAACATCCAACTTAGAGTTTGATTCTGATTTAAAATGCACACAGTGTCCTACATTTCAGCAGACTCATGCCTTTTGGCAAGAAGTGCACCTAATCTCTTTATGGGTCTTCATGGTTCATTCAGTAGGGAGTAGGTTTATTAACTGAATCGATAGAGAACGGAGTTAAAAGTCTCTTCTGCGAGAGAGTTGTTGTAACCTCTTGGTGCTACATGATATTTTTGTAACCTCTTAGAGTTGTGTACTGATACGGCTGGCTTGTTTGTCATGTTGTGGGAGTGGAGGCTTGACAAATACCAGCCGAGAGAGGGATGTAACGCTGGCTGGGTGGTTAAGCAAGCCATGTGAGCTATAGAAAGAAAATAACAGGGGAAGAGGTAAAGCTATTCTGCTGAAGTAGCAGCACTTGAGCAGTACAAGTGATCTGTGTTTGAAAAATGTATATATCGATGGGGTGATTATATGATATTTATGTGATTGGTTTTGTAGATTATGT